TACAAATCGATTTTAGTGCTAGAATATATCTTCAACGTAGATCTAATACACGAACAGTATCTGTTACACTCCAGAAATTGCTTACTTTTCTTAAAACGCTAAGTCTAGGTTTTGTAAGTTGACTGAATAATAAGGATGACTTCTCGTAATTGGGTTATAAGAATAATTTCTAGTTTTCCAGGGACACTGAATCAGCACCAGACTTTTCCAGCTTTTTTTTACGTTTCTATGACCATTTGCAATAACTGACAATGTGACTGATTTCTTTACATTCATAATTGTGTCCGCGCATATTTCCTACACAAAAACTAAGAATGAATGTTTTAGCTGTCATTATTTTTATTCCATACTAGAAGTTTATCTCTACCCATGTATTTACACGGTTTTGTGGTTTTTTAAATCGCTTATATTATATCTTTTTAGTTGTATGCAGGCTGCCACAGACACAGCATGATTCATGAACAAACGCAGAGTAACTTTCTCTTGTTTAATAGTAAAATAAGAGCTAACGCTGATCGTCTTTAGTTAAAATATGCAGATGTGCATCTTTCTTCTCTTATAACTTGACTATTACTACTACCGCAGATTTAAGATTTCTCATGGTAAAAGACATGATATTCGTAGTCAGTTTAACACAAAATTTGGAGAGATCTGTCGTGCATTTTTTAAAATAACAATCATTTATTCATAACTTTGTAACTAAAATAGGACAAATTGGGTACTCTACAAACACTTGTCTAGAACAAAAACTAAGGCAAAGAAACTAACCATTCTAACGCAGAATAAATCTCAAGACATTGAGCTTTTAGTACATCCGTGTAATGGTTTGCTGTGTGGGATGGGGAAGAAGTTATATCCAGAGCTGGTAGTAACGGAGTAAAAGTACTCCGGTACTTGTACTTACGTTCGGTACTTTTACTGTACTCCGGTACATTTTTTAAACCAGTACTTTTACTGTACTCCGATACTTTTTATAAAAGTACTTTTGAGTACTTTTTAAGTACATTTTGAGTACTTTGGTAGCTTAATGAAAGGGTAAGTGCAGGCATTTCTGATCATAATTTACGGAACAAAAACCCGATCAACCGCCAAGAGTTAAAAGTTGAGATCAAAGAACGGCCGTCGCCTCAAAGATCAGCCACTATCGTGAATGTGATCACAAGCGTTGTAAAACTCCTTGAAACGGTACAGTGATTGCTCCAGACGGGATCACACCAAGGTGTGAACTGACCGATGCGTTTCTTTTTCCCAAACATCACACTCGCATCTAACCTCACCACCTAAGCTTACATCACTCCCTGGGTGGGTAGGGCCTACATGTTCGCTCCAGACGGGATCACATCAAACTGTGAACTCTTCCCTGACCATTATTGAAAGCAGTGTTTCCAGAATTTGCGAGACAGCCTGAATTTTAATCAGTGTGGTCACATCGTAATGGTGCGTAATGACAAAGGAGGTTGGGGGGGGGGGGGGGGGACTCAATCAGAGATGGAAAGCTAAAATTGTTGGACAGGTAAAGGGGAGGGGCAACTGGATAAACGTAAATAAAGATCTCAAGACTCACGATAGGCTAATGAGTGTGTATATATAATATTATTTATGGCATGCCTCATGCCACTGTGATTGGTAATCAAGGTTGACCACTCTTTGCTTGCCACATGTCATAAATCCACCCAGGGGTAACGTCAGTTCATGGGTCACTGTAGATTTTTCCTTGGCTTCGTTGGCTAAGATCCCATATTTTCCTTGCTTCCGAGCACTGGGATCTTAGGCGGAGACTACTGCAGTAGAGAATCTTTGGTTACACCAAACACTACACTTACTAGACTCTAGGAAACTATTGTATTTTGGTTTGCCGTTGGCGACGTGGACTACACGCAGTGTGACCAAAATCTGTCAGACCACTATAATCAATCGAAGTGGCTAGCCGTACTTAAGTACGGCTAGACTGCCAGTCTAGCCGTACTTAGATCTAGGTTTGGCCCTATCGACTCAAGCCTGTTAAGTACACAGGTCTCATTAGATCTAGATCTAGCAATTATTCAGGCTCAAATACATGCATGTCAGTAAGGCACCTTTTGGTTTTGTCTGAAATACAAATACTTTAGGCATTGCAAACTAAAAATTTCATTTACAATTCAGCCATCAATATTAAAGGTACGGTTAGCCTGACAGTCTAGCCGTCCTTAAGTACGGCTAGCCTGGCTGTCTACCCGTATTTAAGTACGGCTAGATTGCCAGTCTAGCCGTACTTATCTTATTCCCTATTAACATTAGAAAACAGGAGGTTTAAAATACATGCACTGTCATTAAGGCACCTGGTTTTGTCTCAAATACAAATACTTTAGGTACTGCACACTAAAAATGTATATTTACAATTCAGTAGGCCTTTTTTTTTTATAATGGTCAGTCTAGCCATCATATTTAGAATAAAAATTGTTAGATACACATTGAGAACACAGTTTCAGTTTCAATTGATTATGGAAGAGGCTAGCCGTACTTCAGTACATTTTTTAGATTGTACTTAAATTTGTAGTTAAGTACTTTTTTAAAAGTACTTTAACAGCTCTGGTTATATCGTTTTAAACATAGTAAAAAATGCGAACTTCCCGACCGACACCGGCAAAGTCGCCTCAGGGCTCATTAACCCCGTGACCCCGAGTCGGGGAGCTCCGATGGGCTGCTGAGTCATGCGAACTAAAAGTAACAGAATCGGGCGAAAAGTGACGCTGTGTAACATTTTAAAATCTCTAGCTCTAGAAACAGAATTCGATGCAAAAAATGCTTCTTCCCAGTCCTCGCAGAATGGCAGAATGAAAGGGTATCGCCTAAATCTCGCAAATAACCAAAAAGGGAGAGTATACAGACCCGGTAACCGGGAATAAAGTCACAAAGTATACTGACCCGGTAGGGGAACTCTTTTGTGATTTCGGAAAGTTTCAGCACCCTCTTGGCTCAGGGTAGAACTAGGTTCTTCTAGATCTATGGCCTAGGTCTAGATCTAGACAAACAGATATAAAAATCATTGATCTATTTCGAGGCTAGCCTAGATCTAGATCTAGATCTAAAACTAAATGAAGATTGCGGATGTCTTTTCGATGAAAGATCGTTTTTCCCCTTTTTTTTGGAGTTGGAGGAATCACAATTTGAAGAAAAGAACAATGTCATAATTTCAATCGAGCAGTCACCCCCCCCCCTCTCTCTCTCTCTCTCTCTCTCTCTCTCTCTCTCTCTCTCTCTCTCTCTCTCTCTCTCTCTCTCTCTCCCTCTCTGTGTGTATCGCTCGCATTCTTTTTTTCTTTGTTTGTCTCTGTCTTTCGTTCCCTCCTGCCAACTGGCGGGCATGTCATATACATTTTGCTAGCACTTCCTCCTGCTCTCTCTCTCTCTCTCTCTCTCTCTCTAACTCTCTCTCTTTCTCACACACACAGACACACACACACACACACACTACCGGGTCTGGGCGCTGAAACTTTCCGAAATCACAAAAGAGTTCCCCTACCGGGTCTGTATACTTCGTGACTTTGTTCCCGGTTACCGGGTCTGTATACACTTCGAACCAAAAAATCTTTAAATCGGAAACCGTTCGGAGAAATAAAGTTGAACTTAATTTTCCCGAACGTTCGGAGAAATAGTCACTTCGATTTTGTTTTGCCCGGAAGTTCTCGCAAGATCTACTCTTCTCTCTCTCTGTCTCTTTCTGAATACTGTCTATCGGTGTGGACGATCAAACTGACCAAAACAAAGTTAAAAAATGATGTTAAAACACAAAGTAAATTAATTTGGTCGTCTATAAAGATGCTATGGCTATTTATCTTTTCGAATCGAGCCGAACTACGCGGGTCGCCATTTTGTTTTGCCCGGAAGTTCTCGCACTACTCTTCTCTCTCTCTCTTTCTCTCCACTGCCCACAGACAAAATTGTACGCTTTTATGCTAACAGCAGTAATGGAACGTTTGTTCACGGCACAGAATTCTACAATTTTTCTGTTATCACAGTGCAGAATTCTGTGGTTCAGGGTGAACGCAAAATTGGTTGGCCTAGTTCTAGATATAGGCTATAATAACGCACAGCGGGTGAGAATAGCCAAAATACTCGCCTGCGCTATTAGAGGTGGCCTACATTCTCACCTCAGGTTTAGAGGTCGGCCTTCAGTCTGTATTGTATTACATCAATAAAACATCTAGAATCTAGATAGGAAAGATGAGAAGTGACCCAACCTGGGTGGGAATAACCAAAAAAAATTATCCCCCCCCCCCCAGGGAATACTCACTTCCATCTATTATTTTTAACAGTTTGTCAGGGGGGAGGCCCCCCTGAACCCCTCCCCCCTTCCCCTAATCCCTTTCTCTGCCCCCCATTCTCGCGCAACAATACGAGTGGTCCGGTATTCTTCAATATTCCCAACCACTTCCAAATCTAAAAGAAAGTGGCTATTCTCACCCGCCCGGAAGTTCTCGCAAGATCAACTCCTCCCCTCTTCTCTCTCTCTCTGTCTCTTTCTGAATACTGTCTATCGGTGTGGACGATCAAATTGAACAAAACAAAGTTTAAAAATGATGTTAAAACACAAAAGTAAATTAACTTGGTTGTCTACAAAGATGCTACGGCTATTTAACTTTTCGAATCGAGCCGAACTACGCGGGTCGCCATTTTGTTTTGCCCGGAAATTCTCGCGCTACTCCTCTCTCTCTTTCTCTCTCTCTCTCCACTGCCCACAGACAAAATTGTACGCTTTTAGTAGAGGCTACAGTTGTAATGGAACGTTTGTTCACGGCACAGAATTCTACAATTTTTCTGTTATCACAGTGTAGAATTCTGTGGTTTAGGGTGAACGCAAAATTTGGTGAACGCGCACCGGGTGAGAATAGCCACAAGACTCGCCTGCACTATTCTCACTAGGCTAATAGAGGTGGCCAATCTAAAACTAAACGAACGCCAAAACCTGAAAAAATATCAGTCAGTCGACACAGTCACAAAAAAAGAGGAAAAGAATTTACATCAAATAGATCCACGTCAAACCTTAGAGCCCATATTGCGAGTAATGGTATAAACTACTCCTTTCTGCCACTTTCAAGCCGTTTACTGTAACAAACTCTTTTATTTTTATGACACACATCAACTCTTGCTCTGCTTTCGGTTCATTGTGTGTTGGTTGTGTGTGTAAATAAAAATGCTAAGTTTGGAAATTTGTTGTGAAAGCGGAAGTATTCCCTTGGAACTTGGCATAATAAAAACATGCAAAGGCATTAAACATTGAACGGATATATTAATTTCGATTTTCGATCCGTGAAATTCAATTTTTTTCATTTTTTTTAGGTTCCCAAACATGAATATTCTCGGAATGTTTTAATTAATGAGTCACTAGATCTAGATTTTACTAATCCGTACCCAAACCAAGTCAATGACTAAAACAAACTAGTCTAACTAATTAATTATATTTTTTTAAGTGATCATTAAAATAATAGATCTAGTCTTGTACGTATCACCATAAACATTCATATATTAATATTTTGGCTTTTGAAGAAAATAGCAATTCTTGTTCTTGTTCTTCTTTCTGTTCTTGTTCTCCTCCCCTCCCCCACTCCTCCTCCTCCTCCTCTTCTTCTTCTTCTTCTCCTTCCCCTTCTCCTTCTCCTTCTTCTCCTTCTCCTTCTTCTTCTTCTTCTTCTTCTTCTTCTTCTTCTTCTTCTTCTTCTTCTTCTCAAATAAAGTATACATGCCAACAATAGGCCTAAGAGTCCTAAGACGATAAGAAAAAATATATGGATTTTCAGTAGGCTTTGAGTAGCCTGCAATGTTAGTGCTGCATTGCACACTTATAGATCTATGTGTGAAGGCAAATATGTATATTATATGTTACAATTTTTATTATTTATCTTGTATGTTATGCTAGGCTATCTTAAATGGTCTAGATGTTACCATTACATTATGATAATAATAATTATTAATGAATGCTTTCTGATTAAAATTTGTCCCGTCGAATCGGATTCTCATTGCACTTTTTGGGCTTTCAGTGAGGGAAATTAAAAATAGGAAGTAAAATATTAGATTACAATGAAACGAATAATGGGAAAAACAAAAGTCTTGTCAAGACAACTCATCCGCTAAATTTTATTTCAGTCATCAGTCAGGACCGAGTCAGGTGACCAGGTCATACCAATGAATTATATTGCAAAATCTCCCCTTGTTTATATAATCTTTTGTGAATATTTTCCGGAAGGACTTTCGTTACGAGCGACCACCCCATCAACAAACACAGTAAAGAAGCCTCTGACCTAACCCTAACCGTTCCTAACCCAAACCCTAAAATCCTAAATCTACCCCTACCCCTAGCCCTCAATTCTGCTCTGTCTCACAGTGTCATAGTGGTCGCTCGTTACAGAAGTCCTCCCGATCTGGATCTATCTAGAATCTAGATCTAGATTCTAGATCTAATCTAGAACTATCACCTCCTTGCATTTTTGGAACAGGAATGTCAAGCGCCATTTGCCGATCAACGCGATCGTTAAGATGGCACAGAACCATGCCATATGACGATCGGCAGAAAGAGCGGCCATCTACGGATTATTTTCGAAAATGAAGCTGCGCGATCTTAAGATTGTGCTAAGCAAGCAAGAATTGCACTGCGCCATCTGCCGATCGCTTGGAAACACACACAACACACACAACATATTATTATTATTTATATATACACACATAGATCTAGAGGCGAGAGTGGCAAAGAAAGAGAGGGAGAGAGAGGTTTTTATACCCAAGATAGATGAAAGTCACTTCACACCACACATGCCCACGCTAAAACAACATACAAACACAGACACACACACACACAAACAAACAAACGATTTTGCAATTCTGCGGAGTTTTGTTTGTGAACTTTGCAAAGTTGTTTGTTTGTGTGTGATGACGCGTCGCGCCCATCTCGAGATGGCCGCGCTTTCTGCAGATCGTCATATATGGTTCTGCGCCATCTTAAGATCTCGCTGATCGGCAAATGGCACTTGTTGACATACACAGACCCGGTAACCGGGAACAAAGTCACAAAGTATAGGGATCTCTTTTGTGATTTCCGAAAGTTTCAGCGCTGTCTTGGCTCAGGGTGGACGTAGGTTCTTCTAGATATCTATGGCCTAGGTCTAGATCTAGATAGACAAACAGACGTAATAAATCATTGATCTGGTTTCGAGGCCTAGATCTAGAGCTAGCTAGATCTAGATCTAAATGAAAATTGCGGATGTCTTTTCAATGAACGATCGTTTTTCCTCCGTATTGGTATTGAAGTTAAAAGGAATCACAATTTAAAGAAAAGAACAATGTCTTAGATCTATTTTCCATCGAACAGTCACCCCCTCTATTTCTCTGCCTCTCTCCCCTCTTTTTCTGCCTGCCTCTCTCTCTCTCTCTCTCTCTCCCTCTCCCTCTCCCTCTCCCTCTCCCTCTCCCTCTCCCTCTCTCTCTCTCTCTCTCTCTCTCTCTCTCTCTCTCTCTCTCTCTCTCTCTCTCTATCACTCGCCTTCTCTTTTTCTTTGTTTGTCTCTGTCTTTCTGTCTCCCCACCTATTTCCCACTCTATCTCTCTCGATCATTCCCTCCTGCCAACTGTGGCATGCATGTGTCTCTCTCTTTCTCTCTCTCTCATACACCCACACACACACACACACACACACTACCGGGTCTGGGCACTGAAACTTTCGGAAATCACAAAAGAGTTCCCCTACCGGGTCTGTATACTTCGTGACTTTGTTCCCGGTTACCGGGTCTGTATACACTTCGTTTTGGAATTTGGAAAAAAATATTTTAAGAATAGAGTCGAACCTGTGTAAGACGAGATCGCAAGGAAGCCAGAAAAAAATTCCGTCTTAGATCTCTAGACATTAATTTCTGTCTTTGACAGGGGAATTTGGTGGGGAGATGGAAAGGGGGAGTTCAAAGGCCCAGCTTGTGGGATCAAGGGTCGCTTGTCTGGTCGGAAAGCAATCACAAGTGGTTAAAACGTCACACCTCTCAGCTGCTATCCTCTCACCTCTCTACTCTCTGATAATGACATGCATCCTGACCATCTTCATCACTGAGGGCTCACATAGATGGGGTAACATCTACCCTCCAATTGCACCCCTACTCCCCTTCCTCACTTGAGAGCCTAGCGTTATGTTTAGAGCCGGCGGACGGAACCAAACTTTCGAGTTTTGTTTCAAATCAGGACTGTACTGTACGGGCAAAATATTTTCCTCTTAAACAAGTAAAACCCTGCGGAAGGGAGCTGATTTTTCTTTCCGTTTCCGCTTTGGACAGGTTTCCGTTTTATACAGGTAATTAAAGAGGAATATATCAAGGGGGGAGCGGGGAGATTCCGTTAAGACAGGTTTCCGTTTTACTCAGGTTTCCATTAAGGCAGGTTCGACTTTATAAAACAGTAGGTTATAAGAAGTCAAGTGAAATAGATCTAAATGTAAATTATCGTAACAATAGTATCTAGAATCTAGTTTAAGTCAATGTACCAGATCTACAACTAAAACAATCATCACTACAAAATCGGAAGTTACGCTTCATGTCGACGATTGATGACATTACAATTTATAGGCCTGGTGAAAAATAGCAATTTAATTAAATGAATGGTTCTTAGCTGTGTGTAAATCAAGTGAATGATGTCAGTCTGAATAGGGTAAAGCGCATAGAGCCTGCTGCTGAACGGGGATATGCGCTATACAAATCCTATCTATTATTATTATTTTTTATTATTAGGGTGGATCCTGTGACCGGGGTATTTCTATGCTAAAAAAATGAATTTAAATTAGAATAACCTAAAAGCACACCTTTTAAAATTGACTTTTATAGTGTTCTGTACTGATACTCAGAAAATTTATAGTGAAGGATGGTTCGTTTATCGGACTACTAGCCTACACTACCGATATTTATTTTAGAGTATTTAGAGTTAGTAGAGTTACATTATCATTACCTCTGCCTCTGATAACTGATAATATCATAAGTGGAATGGTTCTTGGAGTTTCTTCTAACTGTTCATCACACTTGTGAGTTTAAGCACAGAAACTTGGAGAATTTAACAACCATCAAAACAAAATTAATTTGCCATAAATGCTTATAATTTCGACTTACGGGGGAATCACTCATCAGTTCTTCATTCGCTTTTTGTGCGATATAATGCAATTTCTCTGTCATGACAATGGGTTGACCATTGGGTTTCAAAATTAATGGAATTGTTTCATCATAAAATCTCGACCTTTTAGGCCTGCCAAAGCCCAAAATATCTTGCCACCTTGTTTAGGCAAGTATATTATATATAACGGCAAATTTTGCAAACTCAAGAATGATTCTTAATTTTTCGAACTATATTTTTTTTTAAAAACAAAAGCAAGGTTAATGAACAAGCTTTAAGATAATATCCATAAATTCATATTCCCAAAATTTGACGAGTGCTTGATTCCACCGCTTTGTGACACACATAAGACTCATACAAACTATCCAGCAAAATTAATACATATATATATATATATATATATATATACAATTTTCTCAGGGCAAGTGGGCCTACGACTTACCACCACTTTCTTCAGATGGAAAATGATGTTGTTTGGGCTAACTTTGTTTCACAATTTGGTAATCCAAAGTGGGTACCTGCCGTACTGTATAAATAAAAGTTTAGTAATAGGGTAGATCGTTGGAGATACTTTGTTTTGCACAAGACTTCCATGTGCAGTCTTTTCTTGTTGATACTGGTTAATTCATTCTACCATTTTCAAATACATTCTCAGAATGATGAAAATGGGCTACGAGCATCTGATGTACGCTTTTAAAAGCGCTTTGCCATTGTATGCTGTAAACATAAGTATCGTTCCCATAGGGACAATCTTCGTCAAGAGTCTCTGTATTCATGCTGGGGCATTGCATCCCTTACAGCTGGGGATGGTCCCAACGGGGAGGGTTGAAGCCTGCTTCCAAAAATTAAAAAAATCTAAATTGTGTCCATAAGGACATGATTTCTACAATTATTTAATTATTTGTTGTTTTTTTACAGAATGGGTTCAGACCAGAGTACCCTCCCTGCTGGAGCCCCAGGCAGTCATCTGAGGTCACAGAGAGATGAGGAGATTCCATATACCCAGTATTCTATAAGCAAACCTATTGATTCACGTAAGTAAGGTCCAATATGTTAATCAAACTGGCATAAAAGACATTTTCCTGCCTCTACTTTGTTTCATCCATTGACACTCACTGACATGAAGAACAAAAGCAAGAAAGTTTGATATTTTCAGAACCTAGGCGCATAGTATTTTTTTTTTTTTGGTGTTTTAGTAATTTTTAGTAAAGCACGTTAAATATTAAAAAAGGGAGCATCAAGCAATTGAGTCTTGGAAAATTGTTCTTATAAAATGGACAAAACTGATATTGGAAGTGAACCCATCAGTTCCCATCTGTGGGATGTTTCTTTTGCAAGTGTTTTGCTGTCTGCATACCTAAGGCTGTCAATTTTTGGGGAAAATTATGTCGGCCAGCTGTTAAAATTTACTAAACCCAAATTTTTATTTTTTTTTATTACAGTTGCTTAATCTGTTGTATTTGTTGCATATGTGCTCCAGAAATACTGTGTCAGTACATTTTAACAGTTTGCTGACAATAATATGTAGCTGTATTTTTATGTTTCGTGTTATCAGGGAGATTTACGCTCAACTGGCTGAAAATTGCACCCTGAGATTGCCCTTATAGGCTAATCAAGTTTCTGAGTTTTCATCATGTTGTAGGCCTTCAAAGAACCAGAGAGCAATCCTCCCCCCCCCCCCCCCCCCCCAAAAAAAAAGTAGCTGTGCTATTGGAAAGTGGTTGAGTTAAACAATGCATTATGTTAAAGATTTCCTTTTACTTTTATGTCAATTTTGCTTCTACTGTCTCTGATTGGAAAGAGCTAGAATTGAAGATATCACCACGACCATGAAAAGGAGAAAATGGAGATATATATAATGTGAGGCAGCGTGGTGGAATCAGGCTCTCGTCAATTTTTGAGCATATTGAGTTATTGATATCATCTTAAAGCTTTGTTCATTTGTCTTACTTTCAATGAAAAAATTACCCATCCATCTTCAATAGAAGTGGAGATATTTTGGGTTGAAGGAGGTGGGGGTCACCTGGTTTAAGAGGTAAAAAAAAATTAGCGAGAAAATGGCCTCCAAACCCTGGTAAATTCCAAAGCTAGAGAGTCCATGGAAACTGTAAATTTATATTTTTGTTCCTTTAATCAACGTTTTTAGGTGAAATTCTCAAAGGAATGTGTTTGTAAATGGACATGTTGAGCCAAAAAACAAAAATTTGATAAAAATTGCTGAGCAGGGAGAAAACTGCTTTTTTTCTTCGATTACATTATTTTGACAAGAGCCTGATTCCACCACGCTGACTCACATATTTACTACGACATGTTGTAAAAATGCCAAAGACAAAAATATCAGACATGCTATATTGGTCACCAACTGGAAAAAGAAAAAGAGGTAGACTAACTTGAAACTACAGAGGCACAATTAGCTAATTTAGAGATGGGGTCATTACCCAGGGCCTTGATGTGCCGAGATTGGAGAATTTGGCCAGGGACAGGCAAGCATGGCATCGACTGCTCTCTGCCTTATGTACCTGGTGGAATGGGGAGAGAGTAAATAAAATCTCTGATTAGAGCTGATCTTGAAGACTTGTCAACTGTCCAGAAATTCCTGGGACTGTCCTGGATTCAATAATTGGGAATTTCACAAACATGTACAGTGGAATCCTGTTATAACGAGAGGGAGGGGACCGAAGCAAAATGTCCGTTATAGCAGGTTTCTCGCTATAAGAGATCCAGTAATAAACTCAAGGGAACTTGTAAAGTAGGCCTAATCTATGAGTTTGGTGATCTGTTTTTCCTTTTGCTATCTCCCCTGATGATGATTTTGTTTCAACATGACCTGTAGGTCTTACTTGATCAAAAATCGAATCAGGTTTGTTTCTCTAGCGCTAGATCTAGCGATGTGGACTGACAGCTCGGCATTGGCGATCAGAAAGAAAGGGCTCTGGGCTAACTCGCCCACTGTGTTTTCCCCCCACCCTGTGGTGCATTCTGTCTGCTTGCGCATGTCACACATTCGCTCCATCCATCACATTGCTGTGACCTCTCCAACCCCACATCGGAGAAGTGAGAGGCATGGCAGGCCTTGATAATCTAAACTGGCCTATCATGCGATGCATTCTGCTTTTCTGTGCATGCCACACCCTCCCTACTCAGTTGCTCCAGCCTTCATTGTTGATGCACATGGGCTCTCCTATTCTTTGTTTCGCAAGATCAGCTACAAGTTTCTCAACGGGCGAGGTCTTGCATAATGTATAATTGGCCTATGCCATGTGCACAGCAGCAGCAATATTCCGCTATAACCAACTCGCAAGTATGTCTGATAGCGCTATAGCAGTATTTTGTTTACAAAGGTAAAGAGAAAAAACGGGGTTTTAGAATAGTGTCTTTATAACAGACTTCTCGTTTTTTCCGGACTCGTTATAAGTGGACTCCACTGTATACCAAAACCCGTCTCGCTTGATTTAATTTGGTTCATTGCTATTTAATCTGATGCTATAACACTGGGAATCCCTGATTGGGTCTTGAAAAAGTTTGCCAGCCTGAGATATCATTGTAAAAAATATCTTCCTAGTTTTTCCTGCTACAATAATAGCTGTCTTCATCTGTCACAGATTCCCCTCGTCAGTCCCCCAGACAGCAGAAGCCTCAAAAGGTTATTGCGAAGCCTGAGAAAGACACCACTCCAAAGCATGAAATAGTTGTCGTGGCGGATGGACACATTCCAGTGAAAGACCCAGATCCAGAATTGACTAAATTGAACACAATCCCGGTGTTCTTTCCAATTTTGAGAGGGTCGTTGAACATTCCATCAGGGAGTCGAGAGATTGACATCCTTGATAAGCTTGATCACAGACAGGTATTGTATGAATTTTCTGTATGATCATTAACACAGAACGTTCTAGAAACAGTTGTCATTTGAAAACAGTTTAAAACTGATTATTATAGGGCTTGTGTGTTCGGATGGACTGGGGGGGGGGGAGATTATGGATGAAGAATGGGGCGAGGGGGCTCGTGAATTTCTATTTTCCAGTTTGTATGGGAAGGAGAAAGAAAGGCTAATGGATTTGTTTGAGGGCTCGTGATTTTTCTTTGATTTTTTTAGGGGTGGGGTGGAGCACAAAAGAATTGGTTATTCTTTGTTCTTTGCTTGCTTTTTGTTTATTAAACAGGGAGTCATTAATTTGAGATGTCTCAAATTTGTTTTGATGCGTCTACCTAACTCACCATTGAGTAGAAGAATATTTGCACATATCCCGTTTATGTTCTCATTTGCTTCTTTCACCCTGATATTGGGTATAGGGCTGCCAAGAAGAGCTCGCCGCCTGTCTTTGTTCTGTACAATCTTTTTAAACTCTACTTTTGCCCCATATGTCTGAGATCTGCCCAGAACTTGTTCGCAGGTGGATCTTGGTCTTCTTCCTCCTCCCCAGGGGATTCCATCTTAAGCTTTGTCTTGTTACTATGTTCACTGACTTCTTAAGCATCTCAATCCACCGCTATATTTTGTTCTTGTTCTCCTTGTAAATTGGTTCGCTTTGTTTTTTCCTCCATAATACTACATTTCTGATGGTGTCCGGCCTATGAATTTTCATGATCTTATTCAGGCAACCATTAATGAGGGGCTGCAGTTTGGTCACTATATAGTTTCCAGGTGTCCTTTCTAGTTCTATACAATGTTACACATTTTACATTTGTACTGAAAATCCTAATCTTCTCTTTATTTTACTTATCACTTATCAAATTAGAGAGGCATCTTTTGTATCTAACACTCCTCTCTCACTCTGTGTTTTAGGAGAGTTAAATTGCAGCACAATCTTCCTCAGCAGTCCTTTAGAGACAATTTGTGTATCACCATGATACTTGTGCTGTCTGACTTTAGGGGAACATATATATGCATAGAATAAATTAATATGATTTACCTTCTTTCTTTAGGTTCTCCAGTTGTGCTTGAGGTACCAAGATCATCTAAGGCAGTTGGCAGAGGCTGTGGCGTTTGATCAAAATGCTTTATGTATACGAATTAAAGAGGTAAGTGAGATAAATGTAGTCAACCGTTCAGTTCAAGAAACCCATATGCCATATTTTTCTAATATCGATTCTCATTTGGAAAAGATATGTGACACAAAGATCTGCGGCCACGGAAAAGTTAAAAAAAAAAGTTGGTTTTAGACAAATTTGGCATACGGGGTTCTTGAACTGAACCAGCGGAGGGTGTGTGATAAATTGAGAGAGCGGTTAATTAAATATTCATGGTTTTGAGAAAACTAGCAGGAGTTTAAAAACAGATGTCAATGTTTTTGTTCAAAGACCAAGAACTTCCTTTTGATCGTTTTTATGGAATATTTAAAATTAAACCATTTATAAACCTTAGTATTGAAAAATTTTGCCCAAATACTGTTCTAAACATTTTATACAAATTATTATGAGGACATGCCGTTTACATTATATCAGCCAAGTTTTGTCAAAATCTGATACTGCTTGCAGCAACCAAATAGACCTCCAGATTCTTCACTCTATTATATATTGTGTTGATGTACTATTTACCAGACCCCTCTTTTTTTTTTTTTTCCTCTAACAAGACCTGATGTTTTTGTATTTCAGATTGACCACACCATCCACGTCCTAATGAACGCCCTGACAGAGAGACAGAAAAAATATTCCAAATACGTGGAGCAGTTTGGCAAAGTCAATGAGACCCTGGGCACATTAAAGAAAATTCAGAGGTCAATGGACGACATCGTTCCGAAAATGGATATGTTGAACCGTCTGTTGCCTGCGTCTGAACAACTTGAACCATTCTCATCAAGAACAGAGAGAGCCATGAGCAAGCCATAGTCTGATCATGATCAGGGTAAATTAATTTCTGTTTATTCATAGAAGAATATATTCATAAACCTTGGTGCCAGAATAGTTGATTCTCACATTCACGGAAGCTGAAATGTGGTTAGAGTTAGAGCCATGGTCAGAGTTTAGTCAAGGCAAAAGACCAATGTGACAATGATAGTCAGAGTTGTATTTTTAGGTTTGTTTTCTATTGTCCCGCTATTTAACTTCTTTTGTATTGATTCAACAGACGAAATGATCGATATTTTTTCCTTTGAATTCTACGTACGGGCATGGATGTTCTGATGACTTTGAAAAAACAGATACAGCACAGTTCATATTCATACTGCCTCTACAGTTTTGTAACAAATAGACTTTCTGACAGGCATAATTCTATTTTGTTTTTCTTTAAACCATTGGAAAGGACTAATCTGATGATAATTTATATAGTTTGATCCAGAAAATGATTTACTTAGTAATTCAGCTTCTAACTGGATATTATTTATGGGATAGATCCTATAAATATTTGTCTGTCCTGTAGCTGTTGTCCCTGAGTGAAAATGCTTTTACTGGATGCTAAGGAAGTTTTTTTCCTTGTATATATGTGTTGTAGAAGTAATTGATTGTTCTGCAGGGTACAAAAAGTTTGTACTTAAGACGAGTGTAGCGAGAAAAACAATGTGATAATAATTTATGAGTGTGAGCTCCCCATGATGTGAACCTTACGCTGTACATAAATATAAGCATCAACTCACTGCCCGCCAGTGTCGCGCAAGCTACAGTCAAAGTTCTTTTCCAGCTGTCTACCTTTTGTTTTAATTTTGTTTTCCTTGGCACTTATCTTGGTGCACTGTTCTGAACTTGTTGGGGGGAGGGGGGGTCATTTTGCTCTTCGTCAGGTAGTTCAATGGTAGAGGAAAGTGCAATAATTTTAAACACAAAAGAAGGAAGAAATTAATGTTTTCATGGCACTGTGTCCAAGAAGTCTCAATCCACCAATTCTTCTTAGCTGTAAGTATGTAATTTTGTAAGCGACTTTTTTTCAAAAACTGATCTCTGTCTCAAATAGGGTGCCACCTTCATTCTTTAGCAGCATGGGAAAAATCTTCACTTTCACGATCTTTATTTGTGTCTCGTGTAGCTCTAATATGACCCTAGTGCCCCATTACCTTTATTCATGTAATTATATCATTTAACTTGAGACCTGTCACAGTAAAGGTAAAGTTGCATGGAGCAGAGTTGCAAAATTGCCATACTTGCGGATCAGTTTGGGTTCATATCAAATGTGCACTTTTGTTTTACCTTTGCTTGTTTATCCTTTCGAAAATTATTGTGGTGATTGTGATTACATACCTTTTCTTTGTTATAACTGAATAATGACATAAAAATTTGACGTTACAAAGTCATTTTATTTTAGTCGGTTGGGGGGGGGGGGGGGGAATCATCAGCTTATAACACAACTCACTGTGATGTCTGCTGAGAAGAGATTTTTTCATAGATGTTGAGAAATTATGTCCCAGAGAACACAAGAAAACCAATCAAAGGTACTCATAGATCTAGATCTTTTTAGTCAAGGCTTTGAATACTGGGTTGAGAAAAAATATTCTTGAAAGGAAGGGGGAAATTTGTAAGTCTACTCTGAGATTCAATAATTGAACTTTCGAATTAACATAATCAAATTATTTGCCAAGTAAACAATAGCAGCTGGTTGTAAATATATGTAATGTCTTATTTGTGCAATAATCTGATGCGCTATTTACTTATGATTCTAATTTTTCAAGCATTGCCATTTGTCCATTGTTTGAATTTTTTACCTTTAAGAAAGGATGGAATGTGTTAGACTTGTTTTTTGGATAAGAGTAGGCTTCAGCCGCCACCTAGGCAAAATTTAAAAAAACCTACCAAACTAAGAATGTTTAATGTGTCTCCGCGTTCTCATATGACATTATGCAGTTGCGAGTGTCGTAAAACACTTTCTTAATTTTTTGGTGTGTTTTTCATTTCTTGTATGAATACTTATTATGATGTCTTTTCCCCTCAACTCATCCCCCAAAAATTGCTTTTTAAAGAAATATATATGTAGGCTTACATAAATGTTAGGCATTATGGTGAAATCAGGTGCTCATCAGAATGATAAAATCAAAGGTACCTGCTTTTTTTCTGTCTGCTGGGCGATTTTTTTTTCTATTTTCATTTTTTTCTTTTTTTGCCCATTTTAAAACACGTTGCTGTGTGGATCTTACTGAAAACGTTGCAAGTGGCAAAATATGTAAATTTACAGCTTTCAAGGACTCTCAAGTTTTGGAAGTCAACAAACTTTAGTGGCCTTTTTTTCGCTAACTTTACCTCTGTAACCAAGAGACACAACCTCCTTCAATCTGAAATGTCTCCACTTCTGTTTAAGATAGATGGGTAATTTATTTCATTGAAAGCAAGACAAATAGACAAGCTTTAAGATGACACCGACAACTCCATATGCCCAAAAATTGGCAAGAGCCTGATTCCACAATGTCGTGACACATATATATATATATGTGTGTGTAAAGTGAACATTTTGTGAAAAGTCTATCCAACCAAGCCTTGGCAGTACCAATTATCGAGAAATTTCTTTTGTGGAGTCAGAATGTCAAAGGGTAACCAGCTTTAGGAATCACATGGTCATGGAGATACACTAAACACCGGGTTGAAGCCCAGATTGGGATTCAAGAAACATCCTCCAGCAGTGCAGGACACTCAGGGCCCTGTGACAGGAAACGTGGCCACCCTAGTGACCCTACAGGAGAAGTTGTACAGACCAACAAGAGCTGAGCAGGATGGCCTAGTACATGATAGGTGTAATACCGGACTTTGATGCGATCGAGAAGAAAAATGGGACTCTAGACAAAGTCCTTCCTACCCTGTTTCATGACTCTGAATCGGGATGACAGTCCAAGACCCCGGCAGTAAATTTGAAGTCTTCCACAAATTGTCACCGCGCTAGCAAATTGGCACATCTAATTTTTGCACTTTTGAGAGAAATGAAAAAAACTGTTTAAATCTAACTAAACTAGACTAAACTTGCCATGCATGTTTCTTTTGTGACTGCCAGCGCATTTTAAAAATAAATATAACCCGAATATAGATAGTGCCACCAAACAAAACAACAAAAGGCTAGTTGCATTTTGGCACAACTCTTAATTATGCCATTTTGCTAGGGCTGTGATGAAATTGTGACTTCCAGTGCATACTAAGTGTCTTCTGATCTAACACTATTTTTTTTTAAACGCCCTACACCTGCTCAATCATCTTGGAAATCATTAAATGAAAAAATATAAGTTTTTGTTAAATTACAGGGTGTTTTACACCCCCATTGAAACAATTTAGATCATTTAGGGAGGGTGCTTCAACTGTGCCAGTCAGGTACACCACATAAGCGCCAACACCAAAAGCGCAATAGTCATATTGACTCAGCTCCCTCTCTACACCTCCATTGGAAGGGAAACATCAGTAGCCTACATGTACATGTACCTTGTTCCTTTTGAATTACAACTCCATTTCTCCAGATTCCTTTCTAATTTTGCATGTCTATTATTTTTGTATGATAATTTCTCTTCCCCTCTAAATTTAAAATCCCTATCTTTTTCGAGGGACATTTTTACTGTAGTATGGCTGTATGTTGTCATCTTGTCGAAAGAATACATGTACATGTGTTTGTATGTTATCATGTGATATGCATTTTGTCAGCACCAGGTGGACTTATTGCCTTGACCAGTGTTTTTTAACCATGTTGGTGGTACTGAACCCTGCAAAGTGAACCCTTTGAATAAGGTGAGCGGAACTGACTCACTAACACACATACACGCGTGAGCCAGAAGAAATCCTCAAAACTAGTGCCCTGGAGACAGTGGACTCGTATGCTGAAACTCCATTTCGTGCATACACAGATGGGAGAGCAACAAACGCTACACGGAATGCTGGATACGGATCTACCATCAAATATCGAAACAACCTTGGAGAGAAGAAGCAGACCCAACTATTTGGCCCATGTGGAACATACAGCTCTAACTATGACGCAGAGAGAATCGCCATAGTAAAGACCTTGGAGCAGATCACCCAAGACTTTTTTGAAGGCGCAGTAACAACAGGGGATGTTGTTGTCTTCTCTGACTCAATGTCAGTACTCCAAGCCGTCGAGGGAGGAGGAGACTACAGAGGTGACGGGAACTTCCTCAGCCTTGTAAAACAGAGGGGCACTTCCTATGGCGCCCGGATCACGCTGCAGTGGGTGCCTGGCCATTCTGGAGTACCAGGGAATGAAACTGCAGACCATCTATCAAAGACTGGAGCGAGCCTGCCCCAGACTGACACAGCCGCCTCTTTACAGACCTGCAGAGGGATCATCCAAGCCAAAAGCAGAGACGAGTGGCTAAACAGATGGGCCAACGCAGAAACAGGAAAATCTCTCTTCGGGTACATGGACAAACCCAACCCCAAAGACCCTTCGAATCTTTTATGTAGAGCCGATCAGACATTGATCTTCAGAGCCCGCACTGGACACTTACACACCAACAAGCACATAAACAGAATCAACCCCATGTGGGAACCCCATTGCAGACACTGTGACTACTATGAGGAGACCGTTGAACATCTTCTCCTTCACTGCCCAAACCTGGCAGTTCTTCGACGCAGGCTCCTACACACACCTAAAATGCTCGCAGCTAAAGGGATTTGAAAACAACAACAGCAACAACAACAACAACGCGTGTGCGTGCGTGCACACACACACACACACACACACACACACACACACACACACACACACAAACCCTCACACAAACACTCACACACACACATACTGTGTATGTCTTGACCTCTGCCGAACCCCTTTAAAGCAGTTTTACCAAACTCCCTGGATTTTAAGTTCAATCGAACCCAGGTCAAGAAACACTGGCCTCGGTAAAAGTTGGCATTGCAGTTAATAATAATGTGTGTTTGTGTATTTATTCTTTGTCAAGGCTATGATGAACGCGTTCTTAAGTTTTTTGTACCATAGACACAGTCCCTATTGGCAGTGAGTGCCTGATTAGAATTCATACTGAGAGAGGCGGTTCAACAAATTATTTTGCTCCTGTATAGTATAGATCTAATCTCCAGCTTTCAGTTTTTCCCGAAAGTGTTTTTTGGGGGTACTGGTATGTTCTGTTCTTGAAAAGCGAGCAGTCATGAAAGTGATCTGCTATACACATTAAAAACGAATACATGCATCTATCGTAGAGTTGAAAGTTGTTGTTTTTTAATAAGTACTCTCTGTCTGTCTGTCTGTCTGTCTGTCTGTCTGTCTGTCTGTCTGTCTGTCTGACTCTCTCTCTCTCTCTCTTTCTCTCTCTCTCTCTCTCTCTCTCTCTCTCTCTCTCTCTCTCTCTCTCTCTCATTTAAGAGAGAGGATTAGACTACCCCAGACTACCTCCTAATAATTATTAGTAAAACAAAACCAACGAAATTAAGCCAAAACTGCTTAGGAAGCAACCCTTCTCACACGCCGAGAAAAAAATTATATAAAGAAATACATGCATATGTACATAATAGAAAGTCACCCTGGGTGAGATTTCCATTTAGCTGACACACAACAATTTTGGATTGGATAATTCTCTAACTCTAACGTTTCTAACATGGTTCGCCCTAATGTGCTTAAGTCATGTACATGTATTAGAAATTATTGTACCATCATGTGATTGTCTGTGGTGCAATGCTAGCTAATGTATTGGCCTCCGTACTTAATAGAAGGTTGTAGGCCTAGTTTGATTCTTATATATGGATGTTTTTTTTGTTTTTTTTTTTGGGGGGGGGGGTTCAAATCGAATTACATGTATTGATGTGCTTGGATGCAACCAGCCTCTCGAAATAGTTGAATCAACTACACATAAAGTGATTTGAAAGTCTTTTATCGATAGGGCGTAAAAGATTTACAGTCAGTACGTGTAGTCAGTCTCTCAGCCTTGCACGGTGCAGCGGTCAGGTACTCCACAGTCACACGCAGAACACCGGAGTTTGATTCCCTTGAGAGGAGAATCTTGATAGAGTATCTCAGTCTTTCTGCTGGGACGTTTTGTTCCTTCTCAGCCAGGATTATTCTTTACTGGCACACATCCTAATTGATTTAAATCGTGTCGATAGGAGCGTGAAAACACCTACATTAGGCCTACTTAAAGAAAGAGAAATAAGTGTACGTTCAAAATTATCTTAACTATTATGTCCTTTTGTATAATGTGAGCTTAACAGACACCCCTAAAAACACCGTAAGGTTGGGGGGGGGGGTTATGAGTCTCAAAATCCGAATGAAATGCCTATCTCCGATCTGACCGAACGTAGAGGGTAAAGAGCCTCGAAAACTAGTGCCGGGCGCCTTGGTTCCCGATTATTGACGAAAGCTAGGAATCGTAGGAATCGACTCCGAACCCAATTACTTCACATCAATCAATATTATACCTACCATCGACGACTGCACCGCTCTCTCTCTCTCTCTCTCTCTCTGGCTCACACCAGAACTTTCTAATGATGTAATTTCTTCCAGTGTTTACCTGGTTGGCTCCGAACATCTTCAGGGTTTAGGATCACCTTGATTTCGGAACACTACGAAGCATCAACTTTTATTCCTACAATTACAATATATATTTATTTTTTTAAAGAAGATTTTAATGATTAAAGTAACCGGTAACCGTTGGTTTACGTAAAAAAGAGTCGGAACATTTCTTCCGTAGCATTAAATGTGGGAATCGGTTCCGGAATCGATCCTTCGCCCAGCTCTATCGAAAACTCACCAAGCACCCTAGGTTCAAGTTCAAGAAGACGTGTAAAGGATTCCTTCAAGGTAAATCAACATCGTACTTTAGCATGATGATACATCCGTGTGTGACTGAGAGGCGCCAGTGTAGACTGTCGATCCTACTTTAAAACCCCTTCTGTTGTTTCTGTCTATCTGTCTTGCTTCTTCCCAGCATATATATATATAGCCTATATATAT